ATACTTGCCAGCTGCAAAATACTCCCAAACACTCCAGTGGGTGTATTAACGCAAGTCACTTGAGGCGAAAATGCGCTTTGCGTACAGTGTGAACACAGCATTACACTAGTAGCAGTTAATGTTGCTTGTAGCCTCCAGAGAAGAGGTGCTAATGATACACAACAGGTGGACGTAATATTTTCAGTAATGGATCCAATTACAAAGTTCTAAATCTTGCTTTTGACAGCATCTGCTTTCTAGAACATATTATGGTATGGTTAAAGTTAGGGAATATCATAGTTACGGCAAATAAACAATTCAGGTCCCAAGAAAGTACCACAGTAGCCAGAACTATAACTATAATATTATTACTTTCAATAATGTTGTTGTAAGCTACTGTCATTACCTGCATCTCTCTCTCTCTCTCTCTCTCTCTCTCTCTCTCTCTCATTGTGTCATGCGGATTACTGTTAATTTATTATGCTGATCTGTTCTGTACGACATCTATTGCACGTCTGTCCGTCCTGGAAGAGGGATCCCTCCTCAGTTGCTCTTCCTGAGGTTTCTACCGTTTTTTTCCCCGTTAAAGGTTTTTTTTGGGGAGTTTTTCCTTATCCACTGTGAGGGTCCTAAGGACAGAGGGATGTCGTATGCTGTAAAGCCCTGTGAGGCAAATTGTGATTTGTGATATTGGGCTTTATAAATAAAATTGACTGATTGATTGATTGAAGAAAGTCTGAAAAGAGAGTGGTTAGCACTTTCACCTCACAGCAAGACGGTACTGGGATCAACCCACTGGCCAGCTGACAAATGAAAAAAAAATATACATAGCATCTTCTAGGTGTTGCCAAACAGACACACCCTGAGCCACAGGACCTCCTCTCCACCATGAAACTTGGAAAGTGGACAGACAGCACAAACCTTAGCAGTTGCACAGACCCAACTACTCACCTGAATGACTAAGAGCCATGGTTCACGCACATTTTCATAGACAAAATGTTAAAGCTTTTCCATGACTTTTCAAGGACCTATAAAATATATTCATTTATTTCTTGCTCCACTTGCCCAGCATTTTTCAAACATATCAGATTCAAACTCTATTCAAACATACTTTCAGTTAGTTGGCATACATGATATTTATATCCATGGGAATTACCATGAAAGATTACTGTAACAATTTCATTACACACAACAAAATCCCCAGACTTTTCCAAAACTTTCAATATTCTTTACTAATTCCATGACTTTTCCAGGCCTTGGAAAAGTGATTGTAAAATTCCATGACTTTTTCAGGTTTTCCATGAATGTGGGAACCCTGTAAAGCACTTTATTTGGCAACCCAATCAGCAACATAACAACCACTTTTCGTGCCACTATCTTGGCAAGAAATGCAGCAATGTCTTGGTAAAAAACAACCATTTTTTATGGCATAATGCCTGGCAGAAAATGTAAAAATGTCAAGGTAAAGAAACATCTGCTTTTGGTAGCACTTTCCTGGGTGGAAACACATCAACAGGTCGCTGAAGACACCCATGATTGTGACTAAAAAGCCGCTAAAAAACACAGCAATGACTCACTGATAAACAACCAGTTTTGTTGTTTGTTGGTCTCAAACAGTGGTCTGCAGCTTGGCAGCCATCTTAACTAGGTGTCACACCAACCACCGCCTGATAACAGCCAGCTTGTATACTAATTCATTTTAGAAACGCTGATATTATCATATCATATGAAATGTACATATTTAATGTATATATGGTTTGATGAAACGTACAATGTCAACATTTTCTGCTGGCCATTGACATGCACACAGACACAATTACACAAACGCAACACTATCTTAGATTTTGTAGTTTTTTTAAAATGAGATTTTCATTATTGCAGTTTTGTACTTTGTTGCATATTCATTGTGAATGTTTAACCACACAACAAAGCCGAGGTCATATTGTGCATTGTACTGAGGGCGGGAGGAGTGGGGGAGTTATTGATGAGTTAGTAATGGGGCCCACTGGCTCATTTCAGCCATGTGCATTATTCCATGGTAGAGCTGACAAGTGATGTAATGGTAAAGATTATATTTGAGCTCCTATGTGATCATCATGAGGCAAACAACTACAAAATATTTTATTGTAGATTCAGGAAACACTGCTTCTTTATTAATAATTAACTAATAATTCTCTCTAATATTTAGGCCTAAATTATACGGTTTACACGCTGTATGACTTAACATGGCAGGTTACACGGATGGATCTATCTACTACGTCACTGAAGCCAACTTCGGAAGGAGCTGAGTGGACTTGGAGACAGCGTGGTCCCTGTACTTTCAGGGAACACTGCTGTCTACAAAGACTCTGGAGGACAGCAAAAGAAGAGGTCTATATCTCCAGACCAACAAAGATCTTCCTCATTCTCCCGCAGCTCTAAAGTAATTCTGTGTGCCATTGTGGCTGAATCAATACCCGTGTATAGGGACATGTCTTCAGCACAATCCTCTCAAAAGAGGGTCGGGTGTCTGAAAAGCTTGGCTTTAAAGAAGAGACAACAAGCATTTCATTTGCCTTTAGTTGGACAAATAATAATGTTGTGGTTTTTGATTGAGTCAGCTAGTTCACTCTGTAAATGGAGGAGGGATAAGTTGTAAAAAGTAGTTGCGATGTATTTGCATACTTATAAAGTAAATAAAGTGATGACAAATGTAATGCATTATACAAAGACAGGAGAACTATGAAATATGCCAGTCATGGATGCATATAGAGAACTAGATACATTGTTGGAGGCAGGGCCTTAGTTGTGCATTTCTTGGATATAAAATTACCCAGATCTTCCAATGCACTAGAGATGCTCGCTGCCTGAGTAGCTAACTTTTGGTTTAGACCTCAGCTAACCTAAACAGGATAAAATTATTTAATTGTGCGGCTCTTCTAGATTTTTGAAATGTTATCGGATAGAATGGATCAGATTCCAACAGGAAAACAAATCATTTCATGGGGGTTCTGATATTCAAAAAAATGTATCCACTGATTCACAGACATGTCTTCTCAATGTAAGTCTATTAAAAAAAGGTATTGTTGGGCCCCATGGCATCATGTGATGGACCTTGACATTGTAATTCCACAGTTTGGCCACTATGCCAAAATGCAGCCTGGTCTCATCGAAATATGTGAAATGGACATAACAGTGGTGGGCACAAAATGTGTTAAAATGATGCGCTGGCAACTAGAAAACAGGGCCAATAAAAAGTCAATTTTGTGGTGAAGACTGCAATAAAGCCACTGTTGGTGAATAATACCTGAATGCCTTGCTATCCTTCCTTCAGTGGAGTGGTTTGGCCTGCTAGAAGCTAGTTACCAGCTAATAATGAGTCAAGCTAAAATTAACGCAAATAAGCTTGAGTGCTCCCAAGTACAATTAGATAGCCGATAAGCTGTCACTGAGAGAGGTAACACTTGTCATGGCTGATACATGAGTTAAGCATAAAGAGCCAGAAAGTCTGTGTAGGGCAGGTGGAAGGGTGGTGGAAAGGTCAAACAAACATGGACTTTCAACCAGGAAGATGCTGTTCATGTCCCGTGTGAAACCAAAAGTCAAAATAGTTACATGACTTTACAGACTTCACGTAACTATGAAAAGTACATAAGTTTATGTTACTTACATCTTGTATAGTTATTTTAAGCAAAACCACAATCATTTCCTAAACTCCAATTTTTTTTTGTTTTCTAAAGCAAACCAAGTGTTTTCCCTTACCATAAACCGACCCAAACTGCAGCCAAACTGCAGCTTTTCACTCTGTTGTCATACACACACAGGCCCAAAATACACACACATGTACAAACAGGACAGAGCGAGGTGGCAGCCTTTGGACAGGCGCCCTGAGCAGTTGGGGGTTCCAAGGCTTGGTCAAGGGCACCTCGGCAGTGCCCAGGGGGTGAACTGGCAACTCTCCAGCTACCGGTCCAGACTGGTCCAGACGGCAACTTGAACCACTGACCCTCCAGTTCCTAAGTCAAGCTACTGTAGACTACACAATAAACTTGGCATTGTTTTCGCAGTGCCAGCACATGATTTAAACCCATTTCGTGCTCACCACCATGTAAGGCACTGTTAAGAAGTCGTGTCCATTTAAAATTTTCTGTAAAACTGTGTTGCAAATTGGCTTTAAAGACCGGCGTTGTTCTTACGGGCTTGATGACAGTGAACCAAGGTATGACCCACCATTATAAACACAAGGCCTAAAATGGTAGCTTCCTTTTTAGATTACGACCCAAGCAAAATGGGAAACTGTAGAGAGGCATTATGTCAAAATGTACTTTTAAAACATTTAAACTGGCTGAATTCTGGGCCACTAGGCACAAATGTAAAGTAGGCAGCAGGCCGCACTGTACCTGATGGGCTCTTAATCACAATAGGATACACACACAATGCAGAATTGGAGGAAGTTGAGGTCAACAGGAGCCCTGAAGGGGTTACTCTGGCCTCATTATAAAGACAACTGTTTGCTTTTGTAATGGTCTACATTACATTTAAGTTTTAATCACTGTTTTTTTTTTAATTCTTATTTTAAGCTTGCTTTCTATGGAAATGTATATTTGCAATAAATGGAAAATCCACAGACTTTCATCCACAGACAAAAATTGGATTCTCCAAATGCCTTTAATTGCAAAATACAATGTGATTTTATTAATGACGGAAGTGATATAAATGTTATATTACTTTCTATATATTTTGTTGTTTCAACTTATTTTTTTTAATGTAGCTTAGTTAATTTATATATTTAACTAGAACTTGTGTTTTGTTTGTCTGATGCAGTACAGCAACAGAATAAATATATTTGGTTAAATAAAAGCAGTGATTTTTTAAAAACACGCTCTGTTGGTGGAGAACTTTGATTAAATGTGAGCCGTCTCATCAGGTAGTTGATGATAATTGAATGTTAAGACACTTGTCTCCCAGGAATGCCTCCCCTCTCTCCACCACCGTCATCAACAAGTGTCTCGCGCACCCTCGGAGCCTTTTCAGTTGCAAATGCATGCGCACACACACACACACCGCAGCTCTGCGCTCTCCCATTGGTCCACAGCCGGCTGACTGCACGAGAATAGGGGAACTTTTGGAGTGAACGGGCAGATGAGTTCAGTGTGTGAGTTGGCCGACTGACAACAAGTGGTTTTCCGCTGAGAACTATTTCACAGCTCGGAGGAGAGGCAGCTGCTCAGTGTCTTCAGTGTGTTTCACTAACAAAGTAATGACTGACACTACCGCGCTCAGCTTTTAAGAGAAACCTGCTCGTCCGCTGCGGTGTTTGTGTGTCCCGGATGAGTCGTGAGTAATTAGTTGATTTGCATCACCCGGCGCTCCCGGTTCAATCTGCAGGGAAACCTGGCCACAAGTCGCCAGGTGGACGGCGACAAAGGCTGCTGAGTGCTCAGCGTTTCAACTTCTCTCTAACTCACCATAACTTTCCTACACCTGTCCAACATGTACAGCATGATGGAGCACGAGCTGAAGCCGACCGGCCAGCCACCTTCTCACCAAACCACCCAGGGAATGTCACCGGTCACGGGCAACATGACCGGGAGCATGGGCAGCAACGGCAACTCTCACCCGAGCTCCAAAACGGCGTGCGCACCTGGAGTGGACCCCATGGATAAAGTCAAGCGGCCCATGAACGCGTTTATGGTGTGGTCCAGGGGACAGAGGCGCAAAATGGCTCAAGAAAACCCCAAAATGCACAACTCAGAGATCAGCAAGCGGCTCGGAGCGGAGTGGAAACTCCTAACCGACGCCGAGAAGCGGCCTTTCATCGACGAGGCCAAGCGGCTCCGCGCGGTCCACATGAAGGAGTACCCCGACTACAAGTACAAGCCGCGCCGCAAGACAAAGCCCCTGCTCAAGAAGGACACTCAGGTGGGCAAGTACCCGCTGTCAGCCGGGAACCTGCTGGCGGCGGCGCAAGGCCAAGGTGGCAGCCCGAGGATGGACAGCTACGGCTGGGGTCCCACCGGCGGGTACGCCGGCATGCAGGGCGAGGCGCTCGGCTACACGCAGCAGCTCCACCGGTATGACCTGTCAGCTCTCCAGTACCCACCTGCGATGACGGCGGCGCAGACGTACATGAACGGAGCCAACTCCTACAGGTGAGTGTGTGGGGGCCACAGGAAGTTTTGCGGACAGGTGTAGCCTATAATAGTGTCCACTTTAAAACTAAGATTTGCGTAAAAACTTATATGGAGTTGACGCATTTGGCACCTTTTTAATAACGCTACTATGGAGGCCAATAAAAGGCCAACACTGCTGAATTTGATTGTGGTTTTCATGTATTTAATTTCATTGTTTAATAGGCTTGCCAATTTTGATTAAATCTTACTAGGCCTAGATGCCTAATAAAAAGAGATTAAAAATCCCGAACAAGGTCTCCAACATGTACCAGCACATCCACCTGCGTCACACACAATCTGGCGCAAATTTTTAAAACAAATTCTATTAAAATGTACCGTCTGAACACAAGGCACCAGTAATTCATTGACCTGAAGATGGCTTCCTCAATAAAATGAAACGGATAAAAATAGTGTCTGTGCTTTTAAATGACAATCAGAGAGAGCATGCGCAGAGATGAAATACCAGTGAAGTTTATTTTATTTTTCCAAGCCACTGCCTCTGCAGTGAAGTCAAGAGCAGTTCAAAATGCAGAACCCTTTTCTACTTCCTTAATGAACATTCACACAATTGTTTTTTAGTTTTTAGCCAAAGTTTGTGACTTGATGGTTAGTTCACAAACTAAAAAGCAACAATAAAGCTTTCACTTCTTTAATTCTTTGTTTTTTTTGACAATATCTGATTAGAGTTTGGACAAATGTGAAATAACACAAACTAAAGTGATCAGAAACGGTCTAAAAATCCACCCTCAGTCTACAGAGTGGCTGATGTGAGATGGCACTCAGAAGTGAGACTTTAATCAGGTGGAAATGTTGAGATAAAGTACATTCAGTCCCATTGAGTCACTGAGGAACACGGCCTACGATGGAACAAGAGGCTTCAGTCTGCTGCCTACTTGTTATGCGTGTGACGCTCTGCTCTGGGCTGGGTCCTGCCCGGAATGTTGATCAGGATGACTTGACGGTAGGAAGGACGGCTCTGTGTGTGGTCCTCTACCCACAATCCCCCATTCCTGCTAAAGCATTGTCCCACTTACACTTCTGGGGTCTTTGCCTCCTGCCTTCAGGTCTCCTACCCCCCCCCCCCCCCCCCCCCCCCCCCCCCCCCCCCCCCTCCCCATCCCCAGAAAGTACAAAGACTTTGACAAATGTGAGGATGGATGGAATTTTTTTCCAGTATCTGATCCTTGGGTCCATTTTTGACTGATGACTCTACTTCAGTGTGAACGTTTCAGACATCTTTGTTCTCCAGCAGGTGGAATCCTTTAGAGCTTCCCCTGAGAGATGTTTTGATGCGTGTTATCAGCTCGTCAGGAGCTTTGAGCCATGTTTGGAGGCCAAACTTGTCGATGCCCGTCCCGTCCTGTACTGAACAGTAACAAACAATATTAGCAAGTTTTTTAAGTGAGAAAGAGATCGGTCAGAATCTCTTGTCAGCTGAGACTCAGAAAACTTGGATTGTGAGTTTGAGGTCATGGCACAACAACTTTTAAATTCAAATAGTATTTTTTAAACAAATTTCACTTTTTTTGTTTTTATATAATATAAAACTCAGGGCAGGGCCATATGGAGAAAATCAAATATCGCAACATTTTTATCAAATACCTCGATAGCAATATTGTGACGATATTTTAGGATAGACTATCGGTGCTTTCACAGAATATTTCCACAATGAGACTTTTGATAATTAACCATCAGTAATGTGGATATGATGACTAAGTGGCTAGAGGCAATTAATAAAGCAGTCCAGAAAATTACAGCACTTTACTGTAATTCCTTTAAAACCAGTAAAAGACAACACTCAAGATATGCCAATATCACAAATCTAAGATTATTTCTAGTCTATCAGGATATTAATAAAATATCGACATATTAAGACCATCTGAATTGGATGGGATGTTGTGTGTTGGCAGGTGTCTCCACAGCAACACTAAAGTGACACATCTCCATGACTCTCCCCTCAGTCATTTGGGCATAATGAAGTCCTGTTCTCCCATTGTGTCTCCTGTTGTCCTGACTCTGTGTTGACCACATGAACGATTTTATTTTGGCTGTCTGATGTCATTTTTTTGGTCCTAAATATGAGGATGTAGCTGACATGCTCCAAGGCTCTATTACTCCGAGCATGTTTCAAGTATTCAAGTAGAATCATCCCTCCACCCATGTTTGAGTGTCTGGTCCTGGTCATATTGTGGTGGTAGTAGAGCAGCTCTAATGTCCTGTTCTCCTATATTGGTTTATTTCTCTCAGTTAGCCTTTAAGTTCTTATTCTTAAGACTTGTGTAAATGTTTTCATCACCTGATGATGTTTTGTCAAGACTCATCACTGTACCCAACGATGAATTCACTTGTCCTGTGGCAAACTAAAGTTTTTGTGCTCAGACTGGTGAAAAGCAGAGGTGCCTGACTGTCATAGTATTGTGGTGGTGAAAAAAAGTACGATTACAAAATACGAATAGTGAGTGATACACAAATGACTTGAAATTGTACTCAAGTAGATGCAACTTTCCTTAACGTTTGAGAGAAACTTAAGATTCTGCTTCAGTTTAGATTAGGATGTTGATGACAGTGATTTTACATCAAAAAAGTAGCTTCAGTGTTGTTTCATTTAGATACGGTTACAGATCGATGTGTTTAGCCTGTTGTTTTGGCCAAAGCACTCAGAGCTTCCTTCCCCTTAGTTCATTAGTTTAATGCTGCTGATTTGGGACAGTGGTTGTCTTCTTGAGGATTTAAATATTTAGTCTATATTTTCAAGTTTATTTTAATCTCATAAAACAAAACCAGGTGTCAAAAATTGGAAATGAGTTTTGACCTGCTTCAGCATTTATACATGCAGCACATTAGAGATCCACTGCACATGGCACATTCTCTACTGCAAAAGCGCAGGACAGGGGCTTGATATTGTGTGACTTAAGTGCAGCAAGATGAAAGACAACTTATTACTGCAGCAGAGTATCATAGAAATCGAAAGTCATGGGAGAAGTTTTTGAGATAAGTCTGACTTCTACATTTATATGGTGCATGTATGGTCTGATTTCTCCCGTTAATCAGGCGTCTAGATTTCAATTTTAACTCGTGTCATCTTCTCTCCTGCAGCCCCATGTCATACAGCAGCAGTCCCCAGCAGCCCAGCCCCGTCACCATGTCCATGGTGAAAGCAGAACCAGTGTCCCACTCGCCTCCGACGGGAACGCCCAACCACCACCGCGGCCCTTTGCAGGGCGACCTCAGGGACATGATCAGCATGTACATTCCCGGACCAGGAGGGGACGCCGGCGACCCCACGGCAGCACAGAGGGGCTACACCAGTGTCCAGCAGCACTACCTCACCGGAACCGTCCCACTCACACACATCTAGGACTGGAAGTGGGAGTCGTGGGGGCGGGAGGGTTATCTGAGTGGGAGGAACAGAAATGCTCACGATGCACAGCTGGCGGGACGGGAGATGGAGTCAGGTGTTGGGATGGGGGGGGGGGGGGGGGGGGGGG